AACCGAAATTTTCGTGAGCCCACAAGCCTATTTGGTGAAAAAAGTGAAATTTCTTTAGAGACCTTTTTTCTTGCAAATTCCAACTCTATGGCGTTCCTCTCGGTCACACGATTCCAACGCAACCTCCCTTCCCCTCATTGGCCATCGGTGCAATCGGAAATTGCACTTTAAACCGAACTTTTCGTTAGCCCACAAGCCTATTTGGTGAAAAAATGAAATTTCTTTAGAGACCTTTTTTCTTTCAAATTCCAACTCTTATGCGTTCCTCTCGGTCACACGATTCCGACGCAACCTCCCTTCCCCTCATTGGCCATCGGTGCAATGAGAAATTGCACTTTCAACCGAACTTTTCGTGAGCCCACAAGCCTATTTGGTGAAAAAATGAAATTTCTTTCGAGACATTTTTTTTTTTGAAAATTCCTACTCCATGGCGTTCCTCTCGGTCACACGATTCCAACGCAACCTCCCTTCCCCTCATTAGCCATCGGTGCAATGAGAAATTTCACTTTAAACCGAACTTTTCGTGAGCCAACAAGCCTATTTGGTGAAAAAATGAAATTTCTTTCGAGATATTTTTTCTTGAAAATTCCTACTCCATGGCGTTCCTCTCGGTCACGCGATTCCAACACAAGCTCCCTTCCCCTCATTGGCCATCGGTGCAATGAGAAATTGCACTTTAAACCGAACATTTCGTGAGCCCACAACCCTATTTGGTGAAAAAATGAAATTTCTTTAGAGACCTTTTTTCTTGCAAATTCAAACTCTATGGCGTTCCTCTCGGTCACACGATTCCAACGCAACCTCCCTTCCCCTCGTTGGCCATCGGTGCAATGAGAAAATTGCACTTTAAACCGAAATTTTCGTTAGCCCACAAGCCTATTTGGTGAAAAAAGTGAAATTTCTTTAGAGACCTTTTTTCTTGCAAATTCCAACTCTATGGCGTTCCTCTCGGTCACACGATTCCAACGCAACCTCCCTTCCCCTCATTGGCCATCGGTGCAATGAGAAATTGCACTTTTAACCGAACTTTTCGTGAGCCCACAAGCCTATTTGGTGAAAAAAGTGAAATTTCTTTAGAGACCTTTTTTCTTACAAATTCCAACTCTATGGCGTTCCTCTCGGTCACACGATTCCAACGCGACCTCCCTTCCCCTCATTGGCCATCGGTGCAATGAGAAATTGCACTTTTAACCGAACTTTTCGTGAGCCCACAAGCCTATTTGGTGAAAAAATGAAATTTCTTTCGAGACATTTTTTCTTGAAAATTCTTACTCCATGGCGTTCCTCTCGGTCACACGATTCCAACGCAACCTCCCTTCCCCTCATTGGCCATCGGTACAATGAGAAATTGCACTTTAAACCGAACTTTTCTTGAGCCCACAAGCCTATTTGGTGAAAAAATGAAATTTCTTTAGAGACCTTTTTACTTGCAAATTCCAACTCTGTGGCGTTCCACTCGGTCACACGATCCCAACGCAACCTCCCTTCCCCTCATTCGCCATCGGTGCAATGAGAAATTGCACTTTTAACCGAACTTTTCGTGAGCCCACAAGCCTATTTGGTGAAAATATGAAATTTCTTTCGAGACATTTTTTCTTGCAAATTTCTACTCCATGGCGTTCCTCTTGGTCACACGATTCCAACGCAACCTCCCTTCCCCTCATTGGCCATCGGTGCAATGAGAAATTGCACATTAAACCGAACTTTTCGTGAGCCCACAAGCCTATTTGGTGAAAAAATGAAAATTCTTTCGAGACATTTTTTCTTGAAAATTCCAACTCTATGGCGTTCCTCTCGGTCACACGATTCCAACGCAACCTCCCTTCCCCTCGTTTGCCAACGGTGCAATGAGAAATTGTACTTTAAACCGAACTTTTCGTGAGCCCACAAGCCTATTTGGTGAAAAAATGAAATTTCTTTAGAGACCTTTTTTCTTGCAAAGTTTAACTCTATGGCGTTCCTGTCGCTCACACGATTCCAACGCAACCTCCCTTCCCCTCGTTGGCCAACGGTGCAATGAGAAATTGCACTTTAAACCGAACTTTTCGTGAGCCCACAAGCCTATTTGGTGAAAAAATGAAATTTCTTTAGAAACCTTTTTTCTTGAAAATTCCAACTCTATGGCGTTCCTCTCGGTCACACGATTCCAAAGCAACCTCCCTTCCCCTCTTTGGCCATCGGAGCAATGAGAAATTGCACTTTAAACCGAACTTTTCGTGAGCCCACAAGCCTCTTTGGTGAAAAAATGAAATTTCTTTAGAGATCTTTTTTCTTGCAAATTCCAACTCTATGGCGTTCCTCACGTTCACACGATTCCAACGCAACCTCCCTTCTCCTCTTTGCCCATCGGTGCAATGAGAAATTGCACTTTAAACCGAACTTTTCGTGAGCCCTCAAGCCTATTTGGTAAAAAAATGAAATTTCTTTTGAGACCTTTTTTCTTGCAAATTCCAACTCTATGGCGTTCCTCTCGGTCACACAATTCCAACACAACCTCCCTTCCCCTCATTGGCCATCGGTGCAATGAGAAATTGCACTTTAAACCGAAATTTTCGTGAGCCCACAAGCCTATTTGGTGAAAAAATAAAATTTCTTTAGAGACTTTTTTTCTTGCAAAGTCCAACTCTATGGTGTTCCTCTCGGTCACACGATTCCAACGCAACCTCCCTTCCCCTCGTTGGCCAACGGTGCAATGAGAAATTGCACTTTAAACCGAACTTTTCGTGACCCCACAAGCCTATTTGGTGAAAAAATGAAATTTCTTTAGAGACCTTTTTTCTTGCAAATTCCAACTCTATGGCGTTCTTCTCGGTCATATGATTCCATCGCAACCTTCTTTCCACCCATTGACCATTGGTGCAATGAGATATTTCACTTTAAACCGAACTTTTCGTGAGCCCAAAAGCCTACTTGGTGAAAAATGAAATTTCTTTAGAAACCTTTTTTCTTGCAAATTCCAACTCTATGGCGTTATTCTTAGTCATAGGATTCCAACGTACCTTTCCTTCCACTAATTGACCATCGGTGCAATTAAATATTTCAATTTAAACCGAACTTTTCGTAAGCCCACAAGCCTATTTGGTGAAAAAATGAAATTTCTTTAGAGACCTTTTTTCTTGCAAATTCCAACTCTATGGCGTTCCTCACGGTCAAACGATTCCAACGCAACCTCCCTTCCCCTCATTGGCCATCGGTGCAATGAGAAATTGCACTTTAAACCGAACTTTTCGTGAGCCCACAAGCCTATTTGGTGAAAAAATGAAATTTCTTTAGAGACCTTTTTTCTTGCAAATTCCAACTCTATGGCGTTCTTCTTGGTCATATGATTCCAACGCAACCTTCCTTCCACTCATTGACCATTGGTGCAATGAGATATTTCACTTTAAACCGAACTTTTCGTGAGCCCACAAGCCTATTTGGTGAGAAATGAAATTTCTTTAGAAACCTTTTTTCTTGCAAATTCCAACTCTATGGTGTTCTTCTTGGTCATACGATTCCAACGCAACTTCCCTTCCACTCATTGACCATCGGTGCAATTAAATATTTCAATTTAAACCGAACTTTTCGTAAGCTCACAAGCCTATTTGGTGAAAAAATGAAATTTCTTTAGAGACCTTTTATCTTGCAAATTCCAACTCTATGGCGTTCCTCACGGTCAAACGATTCCAACGCAACCTCCCTTCCCCTCAATGGCCATCGGTGCAATGAGATATTTCACTTTAAACCGAACTTTTCGTGAGCCCACAAGCCTATTTGGTGAAAAAATGAAATTTCTTTAGAGACCTTTTTTCTTGCAAATTCCAACTCTATGGCTTTCTTCTCGGTCATATGAATCCAACGCAACCTTCCTTCCACTCATTGACCATTGGTGCAATGAGATATTTCACTTTAAACCGAACTTTTCGTGAGCCCACAAGCCTACTTGGTGAAAAATGAAATTTCTTTAGAGAACTTTTTTCTTGCAAATTCCAACTCTATGGCGTTCTTCTCGGTCATATGATTCCAACGCAACCTTCCTTCCACTCATTGACCATTGGTGCAATGAGATATTTCACTTTAAACCGAACTTTTCGTGAGCCCACAAGCCTATTTGGTGAAAAATGAAATTTCTTTAGAAACCTTTTTTATTGCAAATTCCAACTCTATGGCGTTTTTCTTGGTCATACGATTCCAACGCAACTTTCCTTCCACTTATTGACCATCGGTGCAATTAAATATTTCACTTTAAACCGAACTTTTCGTGAGCCCACAAGCCTACTTGGTGAAAAATGAAATTTCTTTAGAAACCTTTTTTCTTGCAAATTCCAACTCTATGGCGTTATTAACCGTGAACCCTGAACCCTGAACCGTGAACCCTGAACCGTGAACCCTAAACCCTGAACCCTGAACCCTAAACCCTCGTTTCATGAACTCAATCGACACGATCTTTCTCGTTCAATTTTGTTCCATGAAACATTGTTGAATGTGGATAATAGTGAAGTCAAATGACCGAGACACTTTATAATATGAACTATGTAACCAAAGCGATCCACAAGACTTTACTAAGTTAGTTGGCGAGCTATATATGAAGTCACTCATGAACTCGAGTCGTCGATGCAAACTCAAATGTCAATCTTTCTTAACAACGTTAAATGGGTGTGACCAACCTTTCAACTTTAGTTCCAATTGTTCTTTAACTATACTCGTTAAACATTAAAAAAACAGCTATATAATAATTATTGTGATAAGATTGGGAGCCTAAAAAAACTTGTTTTAAACATTAAAAACCTTCAAAGTAAAAGAAACGGGAGCCTGAAAAATCTTGTTTTAAAATATAACGACAATAAGTATTGTAAGGAAAACATAGTATTCTAAGTCATACAATTAGTTCGTCGATAATGTGTGTGGACAATTGGATGTAATGTCAAGTAGCAAAGCCACGTTCAATGATATCGCCACTCATTTAAGTTTTTAGTTTTGTGTTGGGTAGAAGGTTCTCAATAGTATTCTGGTTTTGGTTTTAGCTCTAAAACTGAAGATTCTTAATTCGAAACAACAAATCGGCAAAGAAGGCTACATCGGTTGTGATTTGTTTAAGTGAGCCGATAAGCCCATTACAAGTACCAGAAACCCAACTCACTATCTTCTTCATTGCAATCGCTACTATAGTATGCTTATTCTTACCTGACAGTAATATCCAAAACCTAGCACGACCTAAAATATATAATCAAGGGCGACCTTTCAAGGCAGGATGAAGCAAGGATTCCAAGTTCGGAGGGGCTTTGAGTGAAATCCCTGAAACCAAGCTTTCAGTAAAATAGATTCACAATATGTTAGATTCACTAAATCATGATGTTTAAAAGCATCAACATAAAAAGATATTAAATTGAATTGTCAATCTATAAATTTACTTTCTGAAAAAACGAAAGGGTAATACTTTTTTGAAATATTACATATATAATATTAATATCGATGCCATATTAACATTTAACAAAAAGAAGCCATCAACTTGAAACTAATAAAACAAAATTCAGTTTTATTAGCAATTAGTTCAGAATTCAATAACTGGGCCTAAAAGAAAATAAAGAAAAAATAAAAGCAAAAACAAAAATTAACTCTCAAATAGATCACACTATTGTTTAGACATGTAAAATGATAATACTGTGCGGTTACTAACATTCGAACCCTGATACTCGGATTGCAAGCAAGGCTCCAAACCGATGCTCTATTATCTCTTTCACGTCTCAGTTTTGCCAATGCCCAATATTATTATTGTTAATTTGTTCATAAATTTCAGGACGCTCAACGTCGTTGCACTGTCTTCGCCTCTGTTCCCAGAAAGTCGAAACCCAGAAATCAAGCTATTCTTCCCCAAACCCAGAAATCGAACGAACAGGCATCACACATAAGTTCTCCTTCCTACAGTTGTATCGACAAATTCATTCCTCGTCGAGGTTAGGGGGGTGTGAAGAAGCCGGCGCCGATTAAGAGAGGATTTCGATTCGGAGATATGCAGGGGAAGAATCACACCAGGAAAGAGAACGAGTGGAAGAGGGAAGAGCGGAGCTCAACGAAATCGTAGTCCGGTCCCCGACACCGCTGGATTCTTGCAATCAGTCGACGAACTTCAATCGAATCCGACGCGGAGTGTCGATTTCGGTGGCGGCGGCCCGAATTAAGAACGCGCTGCTCTCGAGCGGAGCTGGAGTTGCCGCCGGAAGCTTCTTCTATCACTCCCCTAAAATCAACGACCGGTTTCTCATCTTCTCACCACTGGCGTTATTCTTCCTTGTCACTACTGGCCGGCGTTGATTCTTTCTTCCCGACGTTGAGTCCGGCTGGAACCTGGAAGTAGATAGTTGACGAATTCTTCGTCAGTCACAAAACGACAAAACTTAAAATACGTTAGTAATTTCATAAAGAAATTGGCAGTTGTAAATCATTGTAAAGTTTGGGTGTTTCAAAGTTACAATTTTGAAAAAATAGTACTATAATTTATACCGTTAAATGATTGATTTGAGTAGAATGTGTCAATAAAAATTGATACGTGATTAAAATGTAAACAACAATTAATGAATGTATATAATTGTAATTATATTTAATAATAATATGTAAGTTAATTAATAATTAATTAATAAATGCGAACACAGGCGTACACCATACACCAGGTGTACGCTAGCCTTTGTCATATATATATATATATATATATATATATATATGGTGGCTACTTCGGTGCACTCACTTTTTTGGGTGCATTCAGTGCACCCATTTCTAAAAGTGTCCATAATACATCAAATTTTGAACTTTAATTAGTACTCTCAATCTAACATGATGATATGACATAGAATCATAACAAATCAATATATTACCCTAACCCCTTAACCTTCAATTTTGAATCCCAATGCAAAATCTCAAACGGTAAACCTAAACCCTAACCCTAAACCCCTAAATACTAAATCCTTCAAATTAAAGTAAATCTTAAATGATTTTTTTTTCAAATTCATGGGCTTATTGTTCATAATATCATAAGCAACAATTGATACCATTTTGACATGAATCGCATGCTCAGAATGATGATTATGAGGCGGGTGCGCTGAGTGTACCCAAAAAAGTGGGTGCGCCGAATACGCCACCATATATATATATATATATATATATATATATATATATATATATATATATATCTTACGTGTTAGACACATGAAGCCACCTGTTCCTTCATTTCTTAATCTATCCATTGAACAATGATATTTGTTAGTGTGGGGTTGACTCACGATCTGTTCGTCTGATCTCGTCGGGAGGAAGAGACCTGTGAAAGAGCCGGGGTTGCCCCCCGGATTAAGCTCCGGCGATCAAGTCCGTTTAAGTTTTAGGAGAGAGTTGAGAGAATAAGGTAGAGAGATAGTCGAAAGTCGAAAGTCAGAGAGAGAAGTCATTTCCTTTGGAGGGCTTCAAGACCTTATATCCTGTAGCGGGTATCGAGTGTTGTCATTATCGATTATGCGCTCTACTACTTAGTCTGTGCACGGAGTATTTCAGTAACACCCCCAACAATTGCCCCTTGCATTTTCCATTTCACCAATATGGTTCATGTGTGTGTCCGTTAGGTTTCCTCATCATCTAGCTAACTGATGCATTGTTATTGCTTGAAAGCTCCATCTTAAAGCTATGAATGCAGTGTTATACCTAATTTTCCTTCAGCCCACAATACCATATTGGATAGGTGGAAAGACAAATGTGTGGATTGGGAAGAAACCATGAGTGGCAGGGCAGCTGCAGCGGTTGGCCTACTGCAAGTTCATGACTCGCTTTCTATAGCAAAACAACAACGCTACTGACAAATGAGCAAACTGTTAAGTCAATACTTGGTGTCTCGTCACTCTATTCAAAAGATTGCATATCCAAAAATGAAAATGTGTTACTCTCTACAGGCCCACGCCCACCTTTTAAATTCTTTTTCCTCCTTGTTGTCGACGGAAAAGAGTTTACAATGCCATTGTTTAGAGATGCTTGTGAAATCAACACCACATTGTTGCATAGACAGGAACTTGCTTGAAGGGTAGCTCTGCAAATTACATCACAGTTGGTACTTGGTACCGCAACAAGTATTGAAGCCCGTACGTGAATATCCAATTCAACGTAAGCTTCATCAAAGTGCCCATTTTTCACTCAGGAACCCAGGGAAATTTCAATAGCAACCAATTCCCTCACTAGCTTAAACCACAACGCCACAAGACTATAATATTGGCACACCAATTCAGAGAGAGCAAAACAATTCGAGTTAAAGTTTACCTTAAGCTTATTAGAGAAAGGAGTCCCCTGAAAGCGGCGCTGAAGCTCGAGCACCATGCGAGAGTCGAGCTCGACGGCGATGACGGACTTGCCGGCCTCGAGCAGCTTCTTGGTGAGATTTCCGGTACCGGGACCAATCTCGAGAATGATGTCGGTACTCTTGATGCCGGACTTCTGTACTATGCTGTCGACCAGCATAGGGTTCTTGAGGATGTGCTGGCCATTGGATTTGTGGAACGATATTCCTCCTTGGTAGTGGCACTCCGTCGGCGGCGCCTTGGTCTTCTCTTTTCTCATCTTGCCGCCCGCCGTTCTTTTACCCAACTGCCGATATGAATCTGGCTCTCAGCGAGGGATGAGTTGAACGACGGTGGCTGGTGGCGGCGGGCGAGAGGGGGACTCGAGGAAGGGATTCGCTTCTGGAAGAGGGAAGCTGGAGGAGGTATACGCACAGAAATAACTGGGCTTTCTTTAGACAAAGGCCCAGAGAGCTTCTTCTATATTTAACTGAAAGCCCAAAAGTTTGATGCACAAGTGGCGTTTCGTTGGGGAGGGTAGGCCTACGGCCGGCAAAAACGAGAAACCCGCACAAAATAGCGAAACGGGTTTCAGAAACGGGCGAAACGGCTGAGAAGGGATCTTCTTAATTTAATCGAAGGCACAAATGAACGAAACCCCCAGGAAGAGTTTGGACAGGGAGGGAGGCAGACGGCCCGGTAAAACTGGGCACTCGTAGGACAAGGGGCCCAAAGACATTTTTCTATAATTATCCGAAGGCCCAAAAAACTAGAAATGCCGCGCCGTTTCGTGAGCAGGGTAGGCCCAGTCCGGCGAAAACAGGGAAGTCTCACAGAACGAAGAAACGGGTACCAGAAACGGTCGAAACGCAAAACGTTTCGAGTCCTCAAAACCAAAATCGAAACGCGAGAAATTGACGAGAAATTGCCGAGAAAGATAAATTACCGATATTTCGCCATATTACGAGATCTCGCGATATTTATGCGATATATTGACTTTTTGCGATATATTGACCCGGTATGAATTTTCCAGTCGAAAAGCTGGAAAATTGAAGGGGAAAAGAGGGGAAAATCCCACGATTACATAAAAATACTGGTAAACAGCAGAGAAAAATATTCCAGTCACGAACTGTGCCAAGATTCTTGCATCCAATTGGGATTAATTCGATTTCGAGAATGGTTTCTTTGGCGACTGCAGATGACCTGTAGAGAAAGGAGTCCCCTGAAAGCGGCGCTGAAGCTCGAGCACCATGCGAGAGTCGAGCTCGACGGCGATGACGGACTTGCCGGCCTCGAGCAGCTTCTTGGTGAGATTTCCGGTACCGGGACCAATCTCTAGAATGATGTCGGTACTCTTGATGCCGGACTTCTGTATTATGCTGTCGACCAGCATAGGGTTCTTGAGGATGTGCTGGCCATTGGATTTGTGGAACGATATTCCTCCTTGGTAGTGGCTCGCCGTCGGCGGCGCCTTGGTCTTCTCTTTTCTCATCTTGCCGCCCGCCGTTCTTTTACCCAACTGCCGATATGAATCTGGCTCTCAGCGAGGGATGAGTTGAACGACGGTGGCTGGTGGCGGCGGGCGAGAGGGGGACTCGAGGAAGGGATTCGCTTCTGGAAGAGGGAAGCTGGAGGAGGTATACGCACAGAAAAAACTGGGCTTTCTTTAGACAAAGGCCCAGAGAGCTTCTTCTATATTTAACTGAAAGCCCAAAAGTTTGATGAACAAGTGGCGTTTCGTTGGGGAGGGTAGGCCTACGGCCGGCAAAAACGAGAAACCCGCACAAAATAGCGAAACGGGTTTCAGAAACGGGCGAAACGGCTGAGAAGGGATCTTCTTAATTCAATCGAAGGCACAAATGAACGAAACCCCCAGGAAGAGTTTGGACAGGGAGGGAGGCAGACGGCCCGGTAAAACTGGGCACTCGTAGGACAAGGGGCCCAAAGACATTTTTCTCTAATTATCCGAAGGCCCAAAGAACTAGAAATGCCGCGCCGTTTCGTGAGCAGGGTAGGCCCAGTCCGGCGAAAACAGGGAAGTCTCACAGAACGAAGAAACGGGTACCAGAAACGGTCGAAACGCAATACGTTTCGAGTCCTCAAAACCAAAATCGAAACGCGAGAAATTGACGAGAAATTGCCGAGAAAGATAAATTACCGATATTTCGCGATATTACGAGATCTCGCGATATTTATGCGATATATTGACTTTTTGCGATATATTGACCCGGTATGAATTTTCCGGTCGAAAAGCTGGAAAATTGAAGGGGAAAAGAGGGGAAAATCCGACGATTGCATAAAAATACTGGTAAACAGCAGAGAAAAATATTCCAGTCACGAACTGTGCCAAGATTCTTGCATCCAATTGGGATTAATTCGATTTCGAGAATGGTTTATTTGGCGACTGCAGAGGACTTGTACTGTGGAACTTGGGAGAATCGGAGGTTTCTGGTTCTTGTGCGATATATATGGACGATTACTGCTTTTCGCTGCGGTAAATCGTGTGGCTCCTGATGTCGTTAACCTACTGTCTTTAGTGGTTATTGCGATAAAGGTAATCTTGATGAGGCCATGAAACTATTCGAATCGATGAAGCGAAATGGGATTAGGCCTGATGTCATAATTTATAATTTACTTGCTTCTGGTTTGGCTAGATTGGATTTTACTAAAGAAGTGAAGTGCTTGTTAAACTACATGAAGGACTATGGTATTGAACCTAACAATGGAACATACACAGTGTCATCATTGAAGGGCTGTCCACTGGAGGCAAATTGGAAGATGCAGAAGCTTTTTTGGCCGAACTGGAAACCAGTGCTTGAATATCTATTGTGTCATGGTTAATGTTTACTGCTCAACAAAAGGGTCAGAGAAGGCCTTTGCTCTTTTTATTTATCTGGCTGAAAAAGGGCACTTGCTGAAGAAACGTTCTTGCTTGAAGTGGCTTTCCAGTTTGGAACATGATATCGAGAAGTGTATTCAGCTGGTTAAGAAAGTGTTAGAGCCAAGGGCTAATTATCTGAATATTGTGTGCAGCAGAGTCATAAACATGCTTTTGCATGCTGGAGAGATGGGAAAGGCCCTGAAATTATTGAAAGAAGTGAAGGCAAACGGGATTAACCCAGATGTGGTGACATACACAATGATGATGCATCTGTATTGCAGGATGGATCGCTTGAAGGGGGCCGTCAAGCTTCTCCATGATATGGAGGCCAAAGGGTTGAACCAGATGTTATCACTTATACCGTTTAGCTGAAGGGGGAATTGAAGGAAATAAGGTGCAAGACAAGTAAGAATAGGGAAATCAACAGCAGCAATGCTGTAGTAGAACCTTCTTGTACGGTAAACTAATGGGTGTATGGAGCCTTATCCTGTTTCTTATACTGTTTTGATAGACGCACGCTGCAAAGAAAATGATATGAAGGGTGCTGTGGCATTTTTCAAACAGATGATTGATAGAGGGCTACAACCCGATTAAGGACTGACTTGGTCAGATGGAGTACACTAATGTCAAGAGTCCCATTTTGTTGTAAAGAAGACAGAGGTGAATTAGTCCAATCACAGCCTAATGCAAGACTTGAGTGGTAAGAATAGTTGGGCTAAGGTAGCCCGTAGCCTTCAACACTTCTTATGGGCTGGAGTCCCACTTACTATCTGAGTGAAATGTAATTATTAATCTTTACTCATTCGTGTTTTGTTGGTTGTAATTGTAATAGGTGGTGCATTTGGTTTAGTGGCTCTTCGGACCATGTTTCTGTCGTCCCGATTGCTGTTGGGATTCGATTTTGTTAATTGATTGTGAAGTTCTTGACATGGTATCAGAGTCTAGAACCGAAAGGTCGTGTTTTCGAATCTTCACGACCCCCAGTATTAACAGTTAACTAAAAAAAAGCACAAGGTATGGTGGACCTGTGCAAACTTCAAGCCCATGGGTTGACTTTCGTTTGAGGGAGCGTGTTAGAGAGTGGTATAAGATCGAGCATAACCTTCTCCCAACAACTTGAGTTATTATGATCAATTGGTTCTTGATATTCGTCTTTATATCGAACGATTTGTATCATCTTTTCGAATGATCTAATGAGAGAAAAAAATCAAGCTAATTAATCGAAGATTATTCTATTACCCACTTGATGATTAATGACGAAGTTAAATCCTTTCTAGAAACGGTTGAGTATTGGATCTATGTGTAGAGGTGCTAAATTCCAGCCAAACCAACCAATACTTGTATTTTGGCCTAACGTGGAGTCATGCTCGAACCAACCAATTAGATTACAGGAAATTGCCGAGTCTTCCACCTCCACCCAACATCAACAAAACTCAACGTCTAACCAATTCCTATCGACTTCTCATTAATTTAGGGTTGGAGCGTATAATTTTCACCAAAATTACTCATAAATAGACTACCAAAATGTCGAGGAACAGGAATAAAAACTCCTCATTTTCTCTTGTTCTTCTCTCTTTGTTCTTCTCTCTACTTTGCTACTGTTATCCCCTTATCCTTATGCCAACATATTTTTTTAACAATATGCGAACTCCGCCTTTTTTTTTTATTGCATTGCAGCTCAATGTAGGAGAATAGCAGAGAGTTAACCAATGAAAGAATTATACTCAAAATGAATAGTTGGCCTTTCCCAGTTCTTCCAGACGAAGCCAAAGAGAGCGTAAGGAAAAGAATGACCATCCAACGACACTGTATTTACGTATGCAAGTCTCTAGTAGTCAGTTCATAAACTTCTTGCATTCTGGAGTTCCACACAGGCAAGGGACTCTCTGCTCTTCCGACTCATCAGTTTCAAACAAGTAGTCGTACCTGTCAGACAAGTCACCACAAAGACGAGCAACAAAATTGCGGTCATTCGTTCCTCGAAGCAAACCCCATTTTAGCAGAGCAGATAAAACGGACGGGAAAGTAAAAAGAAATGATCAGCAGAACATCATCATTATTAACTATTATTAAACTATGGACATACGTACGTTAGCTCTTCCCCAGCCGGAACGTCTCTTTTGGCAATAAGCACTACACGGTTGTCTGCAGCACCAACTGTCATTATCCTTGCGAAGCAGTTCGGCATACACTGCAGTAAATAGCCAGCCAACCCACAAGGTTGTTTCATTAATAAATATTATTAGTATGCAAGAGCTCAAAATTCTCTCTTCAACAGACCAAAAAGGGGAAAAGAACGAGAAAAAACTTGTGCAACCTACAACACGCTAAATCAGCCCTCAACAAAAAGATTTCATGTCTCTGCTTAAGGATCAGTTGACGTCTGTTCTCTCGAATAGAGTAGCTATATATTTCACTTTAAGGGAAAAAAGAAAAAAAATTAAACTTACCGAATGGTTGATTAGGCGTGCTATGTTTCCTTTATTTGTGGCATCGATCACCATGTCCTCGCTGATCTTGAACAGCTGCATTAGAGTTCAACGGCTATCAGCGACCAAAATAGAGTTTCGGGACACTTGTGGAAATAAAGAGCAAAGCTAAAACAGTAAACAAAACATAGTTGCAAGTTCATAAGCACAACAGATGGAAGACAATCAAAACATATTAAAAAAATAACAGAAAATTTAAAGGATAGGACATAGACAATGGGGCAACAGGAAGCCCCTAAACTCGTTTGTTCAACTGATTTAAGTGCGTTGATCTACTTGCCAAATGACCGTTGGCCGATACTTATGCTCTTCTATTTAAAAAGAAAAGTTGGAACAAATTTGAGCTCAGTAAATGCGTAGTTATTACTTATTAGTCTATGAACAAGCTCCAACTATACCAACCAGCCAAGGAGAATTAACTGCAACGAAAGCATTGCAGAAAGTGCATATAAACGGAACAGTGCCGCGAAACTCACATAGCAATCTTTTCCTTGTGACTGGTACCTAGCCTCTCGGAGGTCAGCAACAATCTGCCTAACCAGCTCACCCCGATATTCAACAACCTGAAGAAAGAAAGAAAGAAAGAAAGAAAGAAAGAAAGAAAGGGCCCTTTAGGTTTTAACACCATAGAACAATAAATTTCATCGGTTCATGCACACAGCATATACATAAGCCGGAGCTCCTCAGATATAGTATAACCACATATCATGGAGCAAAAAGGCTATGAAGACGCATTGTATGGTGACAGACCAAAAATTCAAGCTTTGAAATTGTATACCATTTCACCCTCACGAATATTTATCCGAGCAAAGAGGCCCCAGCCATGTATGCCAGATTTGCCGAAACAAATCCGATACTTTTCAGTTTTCTGCAGGAAAAATTCATGTAACTTACAGATTAAAGATTCTTTGACATGGATGATATATTATCATAGGTGGAAATACCTGTAAATGACAAAGTCTTTCTTTAAATGACTCAAATATCCTAGAATTATCCTTGTCCTGCAAGAAGACAATGCAGACATCTCTTATAATTTATAACCAACAGCATGGAATCAGGATCACCAGGAATTCAAACATAAAAAATTGTTGTCTAATTCAGTCTCTCAGTCAAAAGGTAAATTTTCATGAAAAGGTAATCTCCAAAGGTAACCGAAGGACTATTACCATAGGGGTCCTGAAGCTGCTTATTGCATCTAAAGAATGATGTCGTGGCCCCATTGGACGTTGGAACATTGGCGCTGCTGCAGACCTCTATCATATTGAAAATACTATGAGACTACAGGAATGACGTTGATAATCTCATGCAGAAAGCAACTGAAAAGGTTGGTCTGCATGACCATTTTCCAAGTCGCAGGGTAAAGGAACTCGAGAGACAAAAGAGTAGAGAAAAAACACCTTATCATTTGATTTTTTTAAAACACGACATTTCGCAGAGGAAAGAGACTCAAATTCATCAGTCCTGAAGGTTGCAACGTCAGTTCTCCTAGGTGACACAAGTCTTGAGCCCTGGAAGAACTCGTTCTGATTTTGTTGAAGCAAGCTTTTGGCAGCAAAAATCCCTGCAGGAGTACGAACAGCTACAACAGAATCGGGGTTTGGGGTCCTATGCAGACGAAAAAAGAAACACACAGAAAGAGAACACTAATCATCCAAATAAATTGGTGGAAATACAAAGAAACAAAACGCATCTTCCGGAAGTCCATTGATGAAGGAACAAAGAAAAAATATACAAAAATTTGCAGGGGAAGAAGTGTGTTTGTTCACCTGTGAACAGCACAGTATATTAACTTCTTGGTTTCTTCTTTCCCATTCTTCACCAGACAGTGCACCTAAAAATTTGAAAATGTAAGTACATGAACCTGAAGTACATAATATAAAACATCTGGTCCTGCTCATATTTCATATGTACAACAAGTGAATCCTAGCTAAGTGAAAGCGCAAAAAGTTGTCTCATAGGCCTTTATTTTCAGTTCAATTTTTTTCCCCTAGCGTCTAAAAAATGAAGACTAATCAGATCTACCCGGTAAATATGAAGAAAAACTATTTCAAATGAAAGCTTATCATCAGATCTAACATACAGGGAAAACAGTGTGTATATCATA